GGCAGTATTCATTTTAACTCCACAAATTTCACTTTCACAATTTCACATCTATGGCCACTCACTCAAATTCATATCCTTATCACCTCCCATCTGGATTCTGTTATCTTGAAGCCATCACTGGGGCCTCCTTTCTTTTTTGGTAGAGAGGTAGAGGACCACAGATGCAGAATGGAGCATATATACTATCAGAAATATCCACTGTATCTGTTTTGTTGAATAATTTTTCTTTGTTATGGGACAGGAGGGCGTGTGCTTGTGAAGAGGGTAGCAAGGAGATACATCTGAAAAATACTGTGATATAAAAACAAAAGATTTCTGAAAAAATCTTTTTAAAGGTACCCTTCCATTTATAGTGATACATCTACTCTCTATATATTTTGTATAGACCTATTTATGTACAGATTGTGTCCTCAATTAGTGTGTGTGGTGTGTGTGTGGTGTGTGTGTGTGTATGTGTGTGTGTGTGTGTGTGTGTGTGTGTGTGTGTGTGTGTGTGTGTATGTGTTTCCCCCTTGGGAAGGAGTGACAATTTTAGTCTCAGTAATTTACAAAGGCTTTGAACTTATGTGTGTAGGGAAGACAAGGATAGGGGCCTTAGTCTCATTAGGACTTTTAGTGTCTCACTTCTAGCAGCTTTTCCATAAATCTTTATTCCTTTCCTTCAATTCTTTGACGGTCTTTGTAGCTAGTACAATCCTACATTCTGACACTCCCTGTCTACCAAAGCCAGTGTCTTTAGGACAGGGATACTTGCGTTTGAAGTAGATTACATGGAGTCCTGCTAAGCTCCCATACATATCTCTCTGGTCACAGGTCTCAGACTGCCCAATCTGCATGTTCTCTCTCTCCCAAAAGACCACTGAGCTCCCAAAACTAGGCCCCCTTTGGTCTCATCTAAAGGCCACTCCTCACAAAACTTGAAGAAATGCTAGTAACTGCTGGCTGCCACCTTGGGCCCCTGCTGTTTGTTACCCCTCAGAGGAAGGAGTCCCCCATGAGAATATAAGCCTCTTAGGGGCAGACTATTTTTGCTTTTTATTTGTATCCCCAGCACTTAAAATAGTGCCTGGTACAAAGTAAATGGCTAATAATTGCTTGTGGATTGATTGGGACATCCAGATAGAGCCGCCCAGCAGGGAATTGGAAGAATGGGACTGGAGCTCAGCAAAATGACTAGGTCTGGAGATGGAGCCAATGAAGCCTCCGCCTTCCCTGAACTGAGTTGTGTTTATTATTGTGAGGACAACAACTGGTTGTTGCTGTACCCCATTAGCTTTTTTTTTTAAGCTAGGCAACAGGGTTAAGTGACTTGCCCAAGGTCACACAGCTAGTGAGTGTTTTGTGTCTGAGGCCAGATTTGAACTCAGGTCCTCCCAACTCCAGAGCCGGTGCTCTATCCACTGCACCACCTAGCCCGTTAGATTTTGATAGGAAAACATTTCCCCAGTTCTGCCTCATAGCCAGCCACTGTGCTCTTTCTCTTCTTCTTCACCATCCTCTTCAGCTGGATGTTCTCTTGGCATGACCCTAAGCATGTTAGAAGTGGGGTGCCCGGCCTCCCCAAAGCCCAATTCTTGGTTGCCTTTGCTGTTTGTAGGTGGGGGTCTGAAGGAGAACAGGGGCCAGCTAACCCACCCCTCCCTCATGTGCACAGGCATGGTTGGCACGCTGCTGAAGCCCTTGGCTTTCAGGGCAGAGCATCCCGCAGGGCAGATCTCAGAGAAGAGAAGGCTCTGTCTTCCTGGGGGGAAGTTTAAAGGTACCATTGGTTGGCTGCCCACAGGGAAGATGAGATGTTGCTTCCATGTCCTCTTCAGTCTAGGAAGTAGCAACAGGCAGCCACCTGGTCTGTGTTAAAACTGGCTCAGCTCAGGGATGGCTATCCTTTGGATTTTTGGAGACATTTACTGAAAAAAAAAACCTTAATTATGGGGAAAAACCAAACTGCTGAGGGATGCAGGCGGAATTTTTTGATAATGGCATCTAATTAAGAGTTACACCAACAGTATGACTCTTAACAAGTGCTGGTGCTGGCATCCAGTCCAACTTGTGCAGATGCGCTCACCAACGGGGTCCCCATAGCGAGTAATTGCTGTATTCAGGGGCGGCTCGGCTGCTGCCTTGGAAATAGAGGACCACCACCCCTTCCTGCTTGTTCCTTCTCGCCCTCGGCCTTGCATCTTGTTACCATGGAGATAATCCTTCTGAAGATGACAATCAAGCAGTGAATGGGGAAAGAATCTGAATGTGCCCTGGTGCAAAAATGACCAAATGTGAGTCTTTAGAGATGTGAAGGATTCCCAGTCATCATTTGCAGGAACCATCTCCAACCTTTTGTTTTGCTCTTTCGTTTGTCCATTTGTTCAATAGACGTGGAGGCAACCCAGCTGTGCAGGGTCCTATCCTGAATTCTTTGGGAGAGATAGATGCATGAGATATTGGCTTTGTCTTCTAGAAGCTCAGAGTCTAAATGGAGGGGGTGTGTTGGGGGGGTTAAGACATGGACACAAATACACGTCAAGATGTGACAAGAAGGGTGCAGAGTGCTTGCTGTCTAGGGGCTTCAGAGGAAGAGGAGATCTGATCTAGTAGAGGTGGGTAAGGGAAGGTGAGAAATTCCTTCCAACAGCAGAGAATCTAGTTAAGCTCCTACTGTGTGCCGGACACTGTGCTAGACACCAGGGGATGCAGAGACAAAAAATGTATGTAGTCTCTGTCCTCAAGGTCCTGGTGGTACCAACCCCTGGTGCAGGGAAGGGAAGAGAGTGAACTGGACCTTGTAATCCCTGGGGAGAGACCGTAGCAGCTGTGGTCAGCTTAGAGGGATCATCTAGGTGTTGCTTCCAATCGACTGATCAATGGTGATCGATCTGCTGAGGAGTGCCGCCGAGGGGAATGTGATTCATTGCAAAGCAGATATTTATTTGTGTCAGAGTTAGAGGAAAGGAAGGAAGGAAGGAAGGAAGGAAGGAAGGAAGGAAGGAAGGAAGGAAGGAAGGAAGGAAGGAAGGAAGGAAGGAAAAGAAAGAAAGAGAAGGAAGGAAAGGAGGAAGGGAGGAAGAGGGAAAGGAAAGAAAGAAAGAAAGAAAGAAAGAAAGAAAGAAAGAAAGAAAGAAAGAAAGAAAGAAAGAAAGAAAGAAAGAAAGAAAGAGAAAGGAAGGAAGAAAAAGAAAGAGAAGGAAGGAAAGGAGGAAAGAGGGAAGGGAGGAAGAGGGAAAGGAAAGAAAGAGAGAGAGAGAGAGAGAGAGAGAGAGAGAGAGAGAGAGAAAGAAAGAAAGAAAGAAAGAAAGAAAGAAAGAAAGAGAAAGGAAGGAATGAAGAAAAAGAAAGAGAAGGAAGGAAAGGAGGAAAGAGGGAAGGGAGGAAGAGGGAAAGGAAAGAAAGAAAGAGAGAGAGAGAGAGAGAGAGAGAGAGAGAGAGAGAGAGAGAGAGAGAAAGAAAGAAAAAGAAAGAAAGGAAGGAAGGAAGGAAGGAAGGAAGGAAGGAAGGAAGGAAGGAAGGGAGGAAGGAGGAAAGGAAAGAAAAAGAAAGATAGACAGATAGATAACAGACAGACAGACAGACAGATGTCCTTGGGCATAGAACTTGATGCTGAAGTCCACTTCTTTTTCATTTGTGGGGGAAGGGGTGCGGTAAATCAAGTGGAGAGCTGAATCACAGGCAGTTATATATGAATGGTGGCCAGTTTTCACTGGCTAGTGCATGGAGGGGGTGAGGACAGAAGATTGAAAGATAGCCTGTAACTAGGTAGAATGAGGACGACCTTGAATGCAAACCAGAAGAATTTGGATTGTTACACTCCCTGTGTTGAACAGGGTGGGGAGGTATGGAAGGGTTTTGAGCAGTGAGGGAGGGAGACATGATCAGAGCAGAAAAAGTAGAGTTCAGCCAAGGACAAGATCGGTATGGATTGGACTAGTTGGAGAAGACAGGTATGAAATTCTCCACATAACTAGGCTGTGTCAGGGCAAGGAAGCATTACCAGCAACTTCTTTCTTGGGGTAATGTTTAAAATCGTCAGGCGATATATCAAATTGCTTACTGTCTTAGGGAGGAGGGAAGAGAAGGAGGGAGGGAGAAAATTTGGAACTCAAAATTTTATTTAAAAAATGAATGTTAAAAAAATGAATGTTAAAAATTATTTTTACATGTAATTGGAAAAAATAAAATACTGTTTAAAAGAAAAACATCATCAGGTGAATTCCCACAAGCACAGTCATTCTGTCTTATTTCCTTCTATTTTTCTCTGAAGTTACTATATGGGAAATGGGCCTGTGATTAGTCCTAGATCTGTGTTTGCAATAGATTCAAAGCTGAAAGCATGTACCATGTGAAACAATAATAGCATATCAATGCCCTGTCTGTGGGATAAGCTTCCCAAACCACCTGATCATCTTCTCCTCTTCAGATATGCTTTTGGTTAACACTGCCCTCTGGGAGATAGCATGGTGTAATGTACAGAATGGATGGACTGGCAGTTGCAGAAGTCTGAATTTGAATCTTTGCTCAGGTGCCTATGAGCTGTGTGACCTTTGGTGAGTCATTTAACTCCTTTCAACCTCAGTTTCCTCATCTGTAAAATGGGGATAATAATAGCATCTACCTCACAGGGTTGTTTGAAGATCAAATGAGATCACATGCGTGTTATGCTTTGCAAACCTTAAAGAGGCTTGTCATTTTTCAATCCTGTCCAACACATTTTGGCCCCATTGGGATTTTCTTGGCAAATAATACCGGAGTGGTTTGCCATTTCCTTCTTCGCCCATTTTACAGATGAAGAACTGAGACAAACAGGGTTGAATGACTTACTCAGGGTCACACAGCTAGTAAAAGTCTGAGGCCAGATTTGAACTCAGGAAAAGGAGTCTTCCTGACTCCAGGCCCGGCGCTCTATCCTCTGCACAAACCTTAAAATGTCAGATCGTTATGAGTTATTATTGTTGTTGATGTTGTTATTGTCTCAGAGCGCACATCCTAACTCATCTCCCCTGGCATTTCAGGAAGGTATGCCCCCAGACGCTGAGTACCACAAGCATGGTGACTCCCTGTGGCTTCAGCCCCCACCTTCATTCATCTGGGGAGCAAGGAGGACTGATCTTTCAGGATGGAAACCTGAGCTCAGCGTCTCTCGATGCTTTGATCCAGCACCTCATCCCTACCACAGATTACTACCCGGAAGTGAGTGATCAACTGGGTGGGGAGTGTGATGATGGAGACCTACACACACACACACACACACACACACACACACACACACACACACTCCCAGCAGGTTGGTGGGGGGGAAGATTTTGCATTGACTGTACCGGAGTTAAAGAACAGAAAGGGGTAGGGAGTGCCATACAGGCTCCCCAAATTTGGCATATTGTGGGGACTGGGTTTTTTTTGTGTGTGGAACAAAAAGGGAGCAGTTACTTCCTAGGGCAGTGAACTCTTGGCTGTTGTATATTGGACACTTGGATGATAAGAGCAAACATCATATGTTCAGAGCTGGAAAGGACCTTGAAGGCCAACTAGTCCAATCCCCCCTTTTTATAGATGGGAAAACTGAGTCCCAAGGAAGTGAGGTGACTTGCCCATGATCACACAGATAAAAAAGCATCATAAAAGGGATCAGAGCCTGGATAAGCCCCCAGTTAACTTCATTCTCGTAACTATTGTCTTATCCAGAAGGGGTGTGTGTGTGTGTGTGTGTGTGTGTGTGTGTGTGTGTGTATTCAGATTTAATACCAGTGAACTAGCTGATTCAAAAAGATTACCATTAATCATTCATCCTTTCCCTGGGAATGACAATAATTAATAATGATAATGATAAATCTTTTTAGTACTTTAGTACTTTCCAGTTACACCATACTTAATATAAATTGTCTCATTTCAGACTCATAATACCCTCATGAGGTAGGTACTAGGTATTATCTCCATTTTGCAGATGAGTAGACTGAGGCTTAGAGGGGTTAGGTAATTTGCCCAATATCGCGCAACTAGTTAGTGTCAGAAGCAAGAGCTGAAAGTGGGTTTTCCTGGCTCCAACTCAGGTACCCAATTCACCATACCAAGTAAAGTGTTATAGTTCAGTCGTTTTAATCATGTCCAACTCTTTGTGACCCCATTTGGGGTTTTCTTAGCAAAGATACTAGAGTAGTTTCCTATTTCCTTCTCCAGCTCATTTTACAGTTGGGGAAACTGAGGTAAACAGGGTTAAGTGACTTGCCCAGGGTCACACAGGTAGTAAGTGTCTAAGGCCAGATTTGAATTCAGGAAGATGAATCTTCCTGACTTTGAGGCCTGGCACTCTAACCATTGAACCACCTAGCTTCTCAGTAAAGTGATATGCTTGGGAAAATTGTAAAGGGCCCCCCCCCACCGTGGGGCCTCATGCAAGTCTCTTAACCTCTCTGGTTCTCATCTGAGGATTAAAAGTATTGGATTAGATGGCTCTCTGAGGTCCATTCCAGATCTACAGTTAATTAATTCCATGCTCATATCAGGCTTTCCATTTGAATGAATGTAGGGGCTGAAGCCACAGCAAAAAGGGTTAACCATGACAAATAGCATGACAGTGGATAAAGTACAGGACTTGGAATCAGGAAAACCCAGGTTCAAATCTTCCCTGGGCTACTTGCTAGCTTTGTGGCCTTGAGTGAATCACTTAACTTCTCTTGCCTCGGTTTCCTCATCTGTAAAATGAGGAGGTCATATATGATGGTGTCTAAGGTTCCTTCCAACCCTAGGCCTATGAGCCTATGAGCCTGTAGTCAGTGTAAACCTCCAAAGGACATAGTAGACTGTGGCAAATCACATAGGCTGTGACATTTGGGATGTTTCTGGAGTTTCTACATCAGCTTTCCCCCAGCAGTTTCCCATTGAATGGGAAACGAGTATGTGCAAACTCATTCCAACCCCAGAGGGTCTGGGGACTAGGGCAAGAAATCTCAGTAAAAAATAAAAATCAGGACATTTTAGTAATAAACAAGAAGGATTAGGAAAACCTACCTAGCTCTGCAGCCAGCTCTAAAGCCACCCTGCATAATCCTTGAGAATTCTCACTTGGACCAAACAGGCACATCTAGGCAGTGTTCCATGGGATGATGCCCATAAGACCTTATGAATGAAAATGCTTTTGCATCTCTCAGCTCTTTAGAAAAGAGTAATCACTCTGTGAGGTAGCTAGAACAGATGTTGTTATCTCCATTTTGCAGATGAGGAAACTGAGGGGCTAAAAAGGGGAAAGTATCAGTGAACCAAAAAGTGTTTACTTAGCACTTAGTATGTGCCAGGCTCTAAGCTAAGTGCTGGGGATGCAAAGAACGGTCAAAATAGTCTCTGCCCTCAAAGGACCTCACGTTATAATGGGAGAGGGGACAATATGTAAATACAGAATATATACCGACTAAGTAGAAGGGAGGTGATCTGACAGGGAAGGTACTAGCAGCTGAGGGAACCAGGAAATGCCTCCTATGTGAGGTGGGATTTTAGCTAAGACTTGAAAGAGTCTAGAGAAACCAAGGCAGAGGTGAGGAGCTGGAAAAGACCACATGGTATCTAGTCCAATACTTCTTAAACTGTGGGTCACAAAAATTTGGCAGCATTAAAAGGTTTTTGAACACTCAATGACCAAAAATGAATTAAAAATCAAACACATGATGAATCCAAGATAGTTCTGGCAGCACTTAACCATGGTGCATCCTGTAACTTCACTGCAGCCCTGGTTCTGAACACACTTTGCCCGCATGTCCTCAGGCCACACAGTGCCAACCAATACTGCCAAAACCTAAAATGGGTGGCAAGTGGGAAAAGTTTGAGAAGCCCTCATTAGTCCACCCTCTTCATTTGAAAGATGAAAAAGCTAATTCCCAGAGATTAAATTACCTGCTTCTGGTTATACAGAGAGTAAATGGCAAAGCCAGGATTTGAACCCAGGTCCTCTGACACCAAATTCAGTGCTTATTCCACAGTATCATACTACCTCTCTTACATGACTTATCTTGGGTCACACAATAGCAGAGCTGGGAGGAGAGCCCAGGTCACCTAGTTGCCAAACTGGTGCTCTCTCCTCTGCACTGCATTGTGGGAATCTTGTAGGGGTGCGATGCTTAGCTTTGTAGGAAGAAAAGGCAAGAAGTGGAGTCCCTCGGCCAACTTGACCATGATTGGAGGGGAGGAGAATCTAGGCATCCCTCACTCTGGTCCTCTATTGGGGGGAGGGAGCAGAGTCCAAACAAGGAGGGGAATCAAAAGGAGGGAGAAGTAAGGTGGAAAATAAATCTTCACTTCCCGAGTGAATGACCTGCCTGTGACTGTGCCTTTCTGTCCCTCCCCAGAAAGCCTACATCTTTACCTTTCTGCTGAGCTCCAGACTCTTCATCGAGCCCCAGGAGCTCTTGGCCCGAGTCTGTCACCAGTGCATTGAACAGCAGAGACTGGACGAGCCTGTGCTGGACAAGGTGAGCTGGTCTGGGGGCTGCCTGGGCTCTAAGCAAACTCAGGAGGCACTCGAAGCTAGGATGGAGACCTCTACTACACGTGAGTTATCTCAGCAGGATGCCCCTGATTTATTCTCTCTTGAGAGTAGGATGGATCACAAATTCACAGAACCGGGCAGTTGGACGAGACCTAGGGCCCTGCAGTTGAGCCCACGAACACCAGCCAGGGATCCTCGCTCCTGGCTCCAGGTGCTTTCATTCCTGAGAAGGGGGCTCTCCCAGCCCAGAGAGCAGTATGTGGGCCCCCGAGGGCCACAGCTCCGAGCTGGTTTCCATCAAGATGGGATGTTAGGCTCACTCTGCCTGACCCCAAAGGGCTAGACTAGGAACAATGAACAGAAGAGCCAGAGAAGCAGATATCATTTCAATAAAAGGAAGAGTTTCCCAACAATGAGAGCTGTACCAAAGTAGAAGAGGTTATGTCAGGAGAGAATGAATGCTTTTAAACTGGATGGCCACTTATTGGGAATCACAGAATCCTAGAATTGTTTAGCTTGAAGGGACCTCCTTTGCTCCCTTGTCCAACTCCTACCTTATTCAAAACCTTCTCAACCACACCCCTAGGAAGTGACTGTTGAACCATGCCTTGAAGCCAGACCTTCAGTCATGGGGAGCCTACAGCTTCCCAAAGCCTCCTATTCCATTTGGGTTAGGGCTCGTTTTTACGGCTAACACCACATCTCTATTTTTCCTTTGGGTCACTCCAACTCTTCTCCTGGCTCTGCCTTTGAGGGCTGTGCAGAAACACACTAATCACTCCTTCATATAATAGTCTGCCACATTCTTTTTGTTGTTGCTGTTGTTTGTTTGTTTGGGGGTTTTTTGCCTTTTTTTTTTTTTGGTGAGGCTATGGAGTTAAGTGACTTGCCCAGGGTCACACGGCTAGTAAGTGTTATGTGTCTGAGACCACATTTGAACTCAGGTCTTCCTGAATCCAGGGACAGTGCTCTATCCACTATGCTACATGGTTGCCCCAAGGATTCTCCATGCCTGGATCTCCCACATTCTTGAAGGACCATTATCAAGTAAGTCTACTCTGAGACTTCCTCTCTGCAGCCTAAAATGTCCCTGCTTCCTTCAGATGATCCTAAGGTAATGTAGAGCCAAGGCCCATCACCTCCTAGTTACCCTTTTCTGAATGCTATCAGCATTCTTTTTAAACTATGACCTCCCAGAACTGAACACAGGTCTCCTAATATAGTGAGAATGAGACAGAGTATAGGGTGACTATCACCTTCCTATGCTCAGAAGCTCTTCCTCTCACTGAGAACCACATTTTGGCTGCCCCATCACACTACTGGCTCTGCTGAGCTTGTAGGCCGCTAAAGCCCTCAGATCTTTTTCAGACAAACTGCTGTCCAGCCATGTCTCCCTCATCATTATAAAGTTAGTTTTTTTAAAAAAAAAATTTCCAAAAAAAATAAAGAAAAATAAAAATTTTTTTAAAAATTTCTGCTCAGAGATAGATTGGACGTGATGACCTCTGAGCTTCCTCTTAACTCTGAGATTTCTATGATTTTATAATTGGTCCTAAGCATTTGACCACAGGAGTTTTGCCCAGCATTTTTCTTCCCTTGTCCCTTAACTCTTGATATGTGTGGAAGCCGCAGAAGTCACAACCAAACTCTACATGAATCTCGTTTCCGAGGTGTTTAAAGCAATCTAGACACGTGCTTCACTGCCTGCCGCTTCATCTGCTCCCAGGCCCTGGCCTGGCTTTGAAAAGGTCACTTGGGTTCTCCAAGGAACTAATTAGAGAGTTATTTAATAGGTGAGAGCAGAGCGCACCATGACCAGCACCAGCAGCATTTGGGGTGGCGGCAGCGTGATGTGGACCTGTGCTCCCTCCTTCTCACTAATGCATCATCCTAGGGCCTGTAGGGGAGGGGGAACATTGACCGGCGCTGAAATGTCGAGAGCCTTGTATTTGAAGTCAGAAGACCTAGGTTTGAATCCTGGCTCTGACACAGCTGTGTGACCTTGGACAAGTCACATAAACCTCATAGTTCTTCAGGTTCCTCATCCATAAAATGGAGATAATAATGGTGATGATGATGATGATGACGGTGATGAGGATGATGATGAGAGGCAGTATGGCATAGTGGAAAGAGACAACTTTGGAGTCAGGAAGAGCTGGATTTTGGCTCTGGGGTGCTGGTTAAGTCATCTAACTTGTCAATGCCCTCACTGGAGGAAGGAGTTTCCATACTGAGAGTTCCCTATGCCAACAAAATCACAGATCTGGACTTGGGGAGAAAAACCAAAACTAATATTTCTATTGTACTCTGAAGTTTGCAAAATGCTTTACACACTCATTTGTTTTTTTTATAAATAAATTTATTTATTTTTAGTTTTTAACATTTACTTCCACAAGATTTTGAATTCCATATTTTCACCCCATCTTGCCCCTCCCCCACCCCAAGATGGCATGCATTCTGAATACCCCTTCCCCTAGTCTGCCCTCTCTTCTATCTCCCCCCCCCTTCTCTGATCCCCTTCCCCTTCTATTTTCCTGTAGGGCAGGATAGATTTCTGTACCTCATTTCCTGTATTTCATGTTTCCCAGTTGCATGTGAAAACATTTTTTTTTAAAACATGTGTTTTTAAAACTTTGGGTTCCAAATTTTCTCTCTTTCCCCCTCCCCACCCACCCTCATTGAAAAGGCAAGCAAGTCAATACAGGCCATACTTGTGCAGTTATGCAAAACACTTCCATAGTAGACATGTTGTGAAAAACTAACTCTACTTCCCTTAATCCTATCCTGCCCCCCCCATTTATTCTATTCTTTCTTTTGACCCTGTCCCTGCTCAGAAGTATTTCCTTCTGATTACCCCTTTCCCAATCTGCCCTTCTCTCTATCATCCCCCTGCTCTCTTGTCCCCTTCCTCCCCTGTTTTCCTGTAGGGTAAGACAGATTTCCATACCCAACTGAGTGTGTATGTTATTCCCTCCTTAAGCCAAATCCTATGGGAATAAGATTCCCTTATTTCCTCTCACCTTCCGCTGTTTCCCCTCCACTGTAAGAACCTTTTCTTGTCTGTTTTGTGCAAGATAATGTACCCCATTCTACCTCTCCCTTTCTCCTTCTCCTGGTATAATCCTCTCTCACCCCTTAATTTTATTCTCCAGATATCACCCCTTCATCTTCAACTCACCCTGTGCCATCTATCTATCTATCTATCTATCTATCTATCTATCTATCTATCTATCTATACATACATACATACATATAATTTTTCCCCTCCCACTACCCAAATACTGACAAAGGTCTCATGAGTTATAAATATTATCTTTCCATGAAGGAATATAAACAGTTCAGCCTTAATAAGTCTCTTAACTCATTTGTTCTTTACAGCAGACTTGTGACATAAGAGCAATAGGTATTATCTGCATTTTACAGATGAAGAAATAGAGGCTGAGAAAGGTTGAGCCATAGGGAGGTCTGCAGTGTCTGGACATTTGTTCTGGATCAAATGAAATTGTGGCCTCCCTGGCTTTGCCCAAACCCTCAGGCAAATCTCAAGGGCATTCAGCTCCGGCTCATGCTTCCTCTCTCTTCCTGGTCCTGGCCCAGCCTCCTTTCCCAGCCTTTGTGAGCCCAGGGAACACTACCTGCCCAGGCTCAGGGCTCCCTCCGCGTGAAGCTCTGATTTCCAGATTGCCTTTGCCTAGTGCACAGGGATTGGAGGACCTGCTTTCCGATACGCAAGGTCTGAATCCTTCTAACTGCTTCCCATCACAGAGGGCCTCCCTTTGGCAGAGAATAAGGCAGAGAAAGAGCTATAGGTACTTCCACTCACAGGAGCATCTGGCCACTTTACCAGGAGCCCACCAGGAGCCATTTGTAATCCAGTGTTCTCAGAGGCACCTTCTTTCAAAGTTGTTTTCATGAGGGCTGGGGGCTTGGGCTGGGGGGTGGGGGTGGGATTGGGGAGAAATAGAAGGAGGTTGTGAGATAAACAACCATGGCCTATTTACTTGCACAGTGGGGAAGCCTTGATTCCTATTTATCCCCTCATGTTTATGTTTTAGGCCCGGGTCCGAAAATTTGGTCCCAAGCTCCTGCAGCTGTTGGCAGAGTGGACAGAAACGTTCCCCTATGACTTTCAGGAGGAGAAGATGGTTGGCCACCTGAAGGACATGATTCGCCGAATTGCACCCTGTGACGAGGTGAGGGAGTCGGCAGGGATGGGATGACTTCGTGATCTTTCCCTCCAACTTTTGTATCCCCTGACTCCACCCTCACCAGCTGCAGTTTACTTCAGTCTTACAATTTGTCCTTTAAAAAAATAATTTCAGCTCAATTCAGCACCATCATATTGCAAGAGGGGAAGGTGGGGAATTGACTTGTGATTTTACTGGTGAAAGGAACTTTTGCTGAGGAAATAGCATCTTCCAACACATATGATCAATGTTCTGTGACTTACCTGAGTCTTAGAGAGTTGCCTATTACTTATTCAGGGTCACACAGCCAAAATGGGTCATAGATAAAACTTGAACTCAGATCTTCTTACTTCAAGGCCATCTCTTTATTTGCTATGGGAAGCTTCTTCTCTCTATCCCCATTTTATAGATGAAGAAATTGAGACTCAGAGAGATGTGACTTCCTGAGATCTCTCTTGAGGCTACTAGGCATTAGAATTAGTTCTCAAATCCAGGTTTCTTTACAACTCCAAATCCAGAAATCTTGCCACTATACCACACTTCCTTTGAGGATGGAATGTTGGGTTAAGTGCTAGTGGAGATATGAGGTTTAGATAAAACTGAGTCTCCCTGCCCTCATGGAACTCAGTCTGGTAAGGGAATAAGACAAAATGTGGTCAGTGCATGGGCGAGATATAAACCAATCTGTGAGGTGTGTGAGGGGAGGCCCAAGGCCAAGAAGGCTACTTCCAGTTGGGAGGATGGGAACCAGACAAGGCTTCATGGAAGAGATGGCATTTGAGTTGGCATCTAACAATTTTAACAGAAATGGTCTCTGTCGGTCCCACACCTCTGGGTCCTCTCATGTTTTCCATGCTTCCTTTTTCCTCCTTTCCTTTCCCTTGGGGTCAGATTTGTTGCTTTCCCCAGCTCTAATCACCAACTGTCTTCTGGTTAGCTCCACCTGAATTTCCTCTGAGCATCTCAGATCAGCATGTCCAAAATGGAACTCATCACCTTTCCCCTTAAACCCAGGCCTCTCCTTAACTTCCTTCTTTCTGCTAAAGATGCCTCCATCCTTCTGATCACTCAGGTTCACACCCTTGGGGTCACCCTCACCTCTTCACTCTCCCTTACATGCCCACAGCCAATGAGTTGCCAAGTCTTGCCCATTCTACCTCCACAATGTCTTTAACATCCATTCCCTTCTCTCCATTCATACCACTGCCACTCTAGTCCAGGGCTTGTACCACCTCTTGCCCGGGCTATTGCAATAGCCTACCAGTTGGTCTTCCCATCATCCAATATCTCTAGTCTGCAATCCATCTTCTACTAAGCTGCCATATGGATATTCCCAAAGCACAGGCCTGAGCATGTTACTCCCCTGCTCAAGAAGCTTCCATCACTCCCTATTGCCTCTAGGATGAAATACAAACTCCTCTGTTTGACTAAGCCATTCCCAGACTTACTCCAACTTCTCTTTCCAGGATGATCACAGATTATTTTACTTGCTTCAGTGCAGAATATTAAATCTCTTGCTTCCACACCTTTGCAAAACTTTTCTCCACTTTCTCTCTGCTTGCTATTATTACCTTTTGATTCATAGTTTCCTCCAAGATCCAAGTCAAAGACTGCCTCTTCCTGTTTCCCCTGGTTGTTAGGACTCCTCACTCCCCAAAACATCCTGTATGTATTTTGTATTATTTATCAGTGTTTAAAACGGCTAGGTGGCACAGTGGATAGAGCCACCAGACCTGGAGTCAGGAAGACCTGAGTTCAAATTTGGCCTCAGATACTTCCTAGCTGTGTGACCCTGAACAAGTCACTTAACCCTGTTTGCCTCAGTTTCCTCATCTGTAAAATGAACTGGAGAAGGAAACAGCAAACTACCTCAGTATCTGAGGCAAATAGGGTTAAGTGATTTGCCCAGGGTCACACAGCTAGCAAGTGTTTGAGGCCAGATTTGAACTCAGGAAGAGTTCAAAGAGTTCTTAAAACCCTTAATAAGTGCCTATGGAGTTGAATTTACCTGAGAACTGCTTGAGATGAGCAAAAGGATGAGGACCTAAAAGGTAAAGTGCGTTTGTTCTCTTTGGTATTCAACTGAGCTTTGGACAAAAGGGAAGAAGGTGTTGAAGGCCCCGGGGAATGCTGGTCTGAGGTCTGGCTCCACAGTGGGAGTTTGTCATTTCCTCTGCTCCTCCCAGACATGTGGCCAGGGCAAGAAACAGGCGAGAGCAGCTGGCGGGTAACCTCTGTGGGTTAGGCCTAGTCAGAGCCCTTGGCTCCAAAATCCACACATTTCCCCCTGGGAGGGACAGGGGATTATGATGTATGATGGGATTCCTCTTACTTGTCTTCTCAATGGCTGGGGGAGGGACAAAATTAGGAACTGAAAAAAATATATTTTTTAAAAAGAAAGGAAAAATAAAGCTGAAAAAAAATTTCAGAAGAATTTCCAGGTGATCGAAATAGACGGTTCAGAATACATGGATGTCACGATTTCCTCACTGACTTGACCAAGAAGACTGGTCTGTGCTTTGCTAAATGAAAAGCTTGGCCTAGCACTTGACCTTGATGCTTTCCACAAAGTACGGATGAACAGCACTGTTGTTCTGCTTCTCAAGGGAGCCACTCGCTGGGCCAGAGACAAGGGAACTCCATACATGGTGGGAGGACTTGGAGGGTTCTGGGGGATGTGAAGAGGATTTAAAGTTGGGCATTTGGGTGTGGATGAACTTTGAGAGTTGAAAACAAAATATCCACAGTCCCCATTGCTGCTACTCACTGTGAATGGTGGAAGAGGAACAGGGGAAAATGCCATCCAAGCTTCTGATCCCATGGGGATGCATCAGACTGGTTCTGTAGGACTGCATCATCAATATGTTAGCCTCAGTGGTGAGATGACAGAAGTCTAGCTGGGCCACCAAGCCTGGCTTAGGGAGAAGCACATATTTCAGCTAGCTTTTCCTTGCTTTCTGTACTGGTGTATTCTTCCAAACTAGCTCATCTTTTATAGTAGCCACAGAGCTGTGTTCAAATGAGATAATTTTGATGAATCTCTTACCATCATGCCTGGCACACAGTAGGTGCTTAATAAATGCTTGTTCACTTCCCCAGTATGTTCAAGATTGGAGAAGTAAAGGGCAGGTAAGGCTCCAAGAAATCTTTGGCTATTTAGCAAAAGTAAAGAGCTCTTCTCCACCCCCCCCATCTTCAGTTTTTGTGTATGAGTGGCTTTGGCCACTGTACCTCTAGGGAAGGCAGTCACAAGCTTGTATACAGTCTGCCTTTTAACAGCTATTTTGCGTGGCCCTAGGTCAGGCACAAGGCAGCTCTAGAGCCAGGCCACAGAGCATATGTAAGAGAAGATTTAAGTGATAATGACACGCATCCCCACAAAGTCAGCCTTAGAGTTAGCTGCATGTCTGACTTTCCATGACTGCTGAGATCAATCCGTTTTCACTGAGGCAGATTGCACAGTGGTAGACATCTTTGGTACACAAGAGAGCTTATCACCCTCCATGAATCTTCCAGGGATAAATAAAGGTTTGGGTTTATGGTTCAACCACCTCATGCCAGGTTGTTCCCTTTCGTCTTGAAGACAGATGTTGATGGATGTAACAGAAGCTTAAAAATCCACATTGACGGCCATCTCTCTCTCTCTGCTCATTCTGTCTTCTCAGACTTTCTGCCTTTATCATCTTGGCGTTACCTTCTATTCTTCCTCTTCTACATCAAACTTTCCTATGGACAGTTCTATGTACATCATAGGCACACAGTGGATCTCCCTGTCCTCCATGCATTTTATCACTGCCTTGATTAATATCATGTCACTGGGATCCAGGAAAGGATAGATACGAAATGTGATACATTTCTGTCCTGGTTTGACTGATGCCAGGGTGATTCCTATTGAAGGCCACAGGATCAATGAGCTGGAACATGTGCTCATTTTGTGTCCCATTAAATCCGGATCATAAACATCAAGGATGAACTGAAACCATTGGGGATTGGCAGCTTTTAAAGGGCTTTCCTTTTATCACCCCCTCCCTAACTGCCATTTCCAACTAAAAGGAAGCTTCCAAAGAACAAAACTGAGTTTGCTGTAGTAAAAATATGCTCTATAGAAAAGAGATTTCTGTGTAGGTGTCCCTGATTCAGAAGCAGGAGCTGGTGGTCTTAAACATAGAAATCTGTATCATGGCCAACACTCATACTGGGTATTGAAAGTAGCTGCCTATTGAATGGAGAATGGCTAAACCCATCACGGTACATGAATGTAATGGGATATTACTATACTGTAAGAAATATGCAGATAAGCATGCAAAGACTATTTTGAAAACATTTTAATTAATTTGTTTTTAACATTCTTTTTAAATTTTGAATTCCGAATTATCTCTTTCCCTCCCACTCCCTCCCACAACCATTGCAAAGGCAAACAATATCATATCAATTATAACAGGTGAATACATGCAAATTATATTTGCATATTAGCCATATTTTTAAAAAGCAAAAGAAAAATAAGTAAAGTGAGAAAATTATACTTCAGTTTATACTCAGAGTTTACCAGTTCTCTCTTTTGAGGTAGACGGCATTTTTTTCCATCATGAATCCTTTGGAATTGTCTTGGATCACTGTATTAATCACAGTAGCCAAGTCTTTCACAGTTGATCATCATTAAAACATTGCTGTTACTGTGCACAATGATCTCCTGGTTCTTCTCACTTCACTTTGCATCAGCTCCCATAGTTCTTGCCATATTTTTCTAAAACCACCCCCCTTACAGCACAATCATGTGCCACAACTTGTTCAGCCATTCCCCAACTGATGAGCATCCTCTTGATTTGCAATTCTTTGCCACCACAAAAAGAGCTGCTAAAAATATTTTTGTTATGTCTAGGTCTGTTTCCTTTTTCTTTGATCTCTTTGGGCTACAGAAAGAATAGTGGTATTGCTGGGTCAAAGGGTATGCACAGTTTTCTAGCCCGTTGGTCCTAGTTCCAAATTGTTCTCCAGAATGGTTGGAC